TATCTTCAACCAAAACAAGTCCAGAAGCTGATTGTGGAACAGACCATCAACTGTTCATATGCAAACTTAACTTGAAGTCGAAGATAATTAAAACAAGTCCACAAGAGCCAAAATATGACCTTGATTATATCCGTCCTAACTTTACAGACCAGATAGCAGCTATCTGATCTACAGCAGCATCCAATTGTTCATGGAGAAAATTAAACAACAACAACAAACGGTTAAATTTAAGCCAAAAATATTTTTGGAGAACATCAACCTACTAAACAAAAAGCAAGGTCAAAATAATAATCATACATGAGCCACCAATGATAATTTTTCCACTTCAAGTTATAGTGACAAAGTCACTTTGCAAAGCAGATATTCTCTATCAACCTTGTTTATTTGCTTACTGTTTTCTGGGTTTTCATAATATGAAATTACTGGATACACATTAGTAGACCTTGCTCTGGAAAGTGGGCAGGTGTTGGATCCACAAAGCAGCAGCTAGACCAGACCATCCTTCCTATTGAAAAAACCAAACTCACTGCCATCAACTCACAGCATACTCTCCTTGGGCTTCTGACACGGTATCGCTATGGAAGTAGACTGCCCAATCTTCCTTCCAAGGGGTGGCTGGTAGGTCTGAACTGTCAGCCTTCTGGTTAGCAGTCAAATTCCTTAGGCACTACACTACCAGAGCTCCTACATCCTTCCTATGTTGTTGTTGTTATGTGCTGTAAAGTCGGACTCGCCTCATAGCGACCCCTCCTTGGGTTTCCGTGGCAGTATCACTATAGAAGTAGGATTGCCCCATCTTCCTTCTGAGGAGTGGCTGGTGGGTTTGAACTGCCAGCCTTCTGGTTAGCATTCAAGTGCCTTTAGCCACTATGCTACCAGAGCTCCCCATCCTTCCTATAGTTGCCCCAATTTTAATGGGGTAACCATTGCAGATACTGGAAAGGGCATGAGAGGAATAGTACAGACATGTTCTATCTAGTATTTTAGAAAGCAAGATAAAAGTAAAGGGATTTTTAACTGATTGAATGGTCAACTATATACAAACAAGTATTTAATCAAGAAAATGATTTCCAGTGGCAAGTTGAAAGACATACATCCTATGTCTTATCTTAGACAACATTTTTTTAAACCTCAGATTTGATAAAGGAGAAAAGACCTAATAATTTTTTTAAAAGACATTTGAAAGGGACAACTAATAATACTAATAATAATGTCAGCAACAACCCTGACATGACAGAACATTAGACTTGATTAAGAAATTCATACTGGATATGGGTCAAACTGCAAGTACAGGCAAAGAACCAACCACACCCACATAGACAGGAATAGAGAACAGACCAGGCAGCAGCAACTCCTGTAGGGAGACCCTGGGGCTCTGGCTTACTGTGGGCCCAGTGGGAACTGCATAGTGTGATTGCTGCCCAAGAGGCTGAAGCCAACCTTGTACACAACGGTCAGAGTCTCCCTCAAGAATAATGGGGCACTGATTGCTCCTTGATTGCTCCATGGCCGTGGGACTGCCTCTAGAGCAGGTATTCAATGAGGGCTGGTACTAGAGTGGAGGGCAATCAGAGAAAAACAGGGAGAAGAGTGCCTCTGAAAGGCCCAAAGAACTCATCTAGACAAGCTGTCCAACAGAAATACGATGCAAACCACATTAGTATTTTTTTAAATTTTAATACCCACGTTAAATAAGGTAAAAATAAAGAGGTGAAATTAATAAGATTTTATTTAATCCTGAAGTATTGTCATTTTAATATGTAATCAATATAAAATATTATTAATGAGCTATTTTACATTCTTTTTTCACACTACAGTTTTGCAAGCTGATGTCTATTCTACACTTCACAGCATCCTCAATTCAGACCAGGCATGTGTGTATAGCAACAAAAAGACAGACAGGGTAAGTTCCAGAGAAGTGAATTGTGGAAACTCTTTCCTAATAGCCAGAAGACTTCCCTGGTATTAATGTGCTGCCTCAGGATGGAGGGATTTCCCAGCACTGAGGGAGTTTACACCAGACTAAACTCTGATTCTATGAGAAAGGACCACTTGGTGTAAGGAGATAGAAAGATTCCCTGGAAAGAACAGAAAAGCTGGCTGTTATAGGGCAGAATCTCCAGGGAAAAGGAAAATGCAAACAAAACGAACAGCAACAGGCAAGATTAAGTGGTAAAGAACTAGGTAAGGGCTCCAAAGGGGGTCTACTTAAGGCTGTAGGAAACAAACCGGTCCTGTCTTACTTCCTATATGTTTTGTTATGACTCTATACCAAGCTAGGCTGGCATGACTTGAGCACCACACATTCCACCCATCTGCAAGATGGGGAGGACCCACCCCTCGCAAAGATATCTGAGAATTCACAGTGACTGCAGAGCGGAGTTCCTTTTCCTACTATAGGCTTATTACCCCTAGGCCTGCTAGCTTCTATACAGCACTCTTCTACTACATCTTTAGGGATAAAGGCAAATGGCCCCAAAAAAGTTGGCCTGCAGAAACTTATTCCATTTGTTGTTGTTGTTGTTGTTGTTGTTGTTATGTGCCGTCGAGTGGGACCCGACTCATAGCAACCCCTCCTTGGGTTTCCAAGGCAGTATCACTAAGGAAGTAGATTGTCCCATCTTCCTTCTGAGGATGGCTGGTGGGTTTGAACCACCAGCCTTCTGGTTAGCAATCAAGTGCCTTAGGCACTACGCTACCAGAGCTCCTAATGAAATCAGAGATTAACAAAACAATCACAATGAAGTATTTTACCTTTGCTTAAAACAAGTCTCTTACTAGTTCACAGTGTTCCATTATATTATAATACAAAAGTAAGTGGAGAGGAGAAGTCCTGACACTGAAGAATAAAGTTCAGCCTTTAGTCAGGAATTTGAAGCTTCAACAACACTTTAAAAACTCATTTTCTTCTTATGCATGTATGCAATTTTATATTCAAGTGTCTCTATTACCAGAAATATAATGTAACTGTTTTACAAAATGGCACTAAGAAGCCTATGGTTATGACTCAAGCAAGGAAAGGCCATATGTCGTTTAACATATATAATAAGTGTGCCGAACAATGGGGCTGGAGGGCATGGAGAGGGGAAAGAGGTGAAGAAGGGATCAGAACTGAGCTATGATGGGGAATACCAAATTCTACACTCTAGGGAGCCCCCTTGGATAGTGAGTTCAGAATGAAAACATATGATCATGGAAAAATTTCCTGAACCAAGCAATGTCTCCAATGCCATCAAGGTCCACTTTAGGCTTCCCAGTGGGCTTTCTACCAAGCTTGAGTGACACAGCTCTCATTGCTGGAGAGATGCAAAATGGGTGCCTTTAAGCAATTTATTTAACCTCGGTAAGCCTTAGCTTCTTTACCTGAGAAATGTAGTTATGGGAAGTGTACTGCATTTGCATGTATGTGGCACACAATAGGCACTCAGCAGGCATCAGCTCTGTTAGGCTGGAGAGGCTGCTAATGACAGATAGCTGGACCCAATAAAGAGCAGTCCAGCTCCAGAGTACTGGAGTACTTTGTACAATGGCTGCTCCCTGAGGTTCGGCCATTACTGGCACCTGTTACCCAATGCCCTGGGCTCACAGTGTCCATGCTCCCTGCCTCACAAGGATACTGGTGGGGTCAAAGAACTACCAAACTCCAATGTGTAGGCTATTTATTGGAGGTTGGGTTCCTGAAGACCATCTTTGAACATTTGGAGGTCACACTTCATGCAGTCATGTGACTATAGTAAACAAGATCATGTTTAATGGAGACGCAAAACGATAGATTCACAATTTTAATTCCAAATGGCAAAATCATTAACTTGAATAGCAGATTGACCTATTTATTCTGTACATAATTAATTCTGGTTAGAGAATAACACTTTAATGTTTAAAGAAAACCAGATTTAAAATTAGTAATGCATTTAATGTGATTACTGATATTTTCCTTGGAATATATTTATAGCATTGACTTGGCCTAATATCACTATGAATCCTTATGTGCAAGACACATTTTACATAAAGGCTCATATTCTTCTCTTACATAATAATCCACTTACCAAATGTTCCATGGATTATCTTTCCCAAGTATTAGATACTGCATAAAGGTTATAAAATCAAATAACTTAGGTACGTATTTAATGTGTCAAATTTCCGAAATCCAATAATATGAATACATTAAACAAATATATTTTCAATTAGTAAAGGGTAGGAGCAGCCTAACTTACCTGGAAATTAAATGCCATTCCCTTTCTTCTTGCCACCCTACAAACCCAACCATTTACTTAAAGATTTCTATTGTAGAAACAAGGAGCTCTGGTAGCATAGTGGCTAAAGCACTTGTCTGCTAACCAGAAGGCTGGCGGTTCAAACCCACCAGCCACTCCTCGGAAGGAAGGTTGGCCACTCCTACTTCCGTAGTGATACTGCCTCGGAAACCCAAGGAGGGGTCGCTATGAGTCGGGGCCGACTTGACGGCACATAACAACAACAACAACATTGTAGAAACATATCTAATTAGCAGCATGTTAGGGCCTCATTTCTTCACTTTTAAAATAAGAGGATTGGGCTGAGTCAAGATAGGACTAAACACCTAACAGGTATCATCTCTTTTAATCCTTAAGATAAACCTGAGGTAGGTATCATTAGCATACTCATTTTACAGACAAGAAAATTCAGAGAATTAAGTAACTTTCCAAGATTCAAACAGGCAGTCTCACTCCAGTTCTTAACCACCACTCTCTTCTATACCACCTTTATTTATCTGCCTTAGCATTAAGTAGAGATGTTTCCAGGAAAGAGACTATATTTTATCATATACATAATTAATGTAAACTATTTCACTGAAGTGGTAGTTTTAGATAGACGTTAAGTATAATGAAAGACTATCATTTTGTACACATAGTATATTAAGTGGTTCCTTAAAAAGTTTAAGTGATTAAATAACATTCAACTAAAAATCAAAACACGCTACACCAAGATATCTATAGTTACGAAACTGCTGATACACTTACCTCGATCAATTTGTTGGCATGTTCACGGAAAACTTGGGCATACTCCTTAACTTCTTTTTCATTTCCATTCTTTGCAGCTTCGATCAATACTAAAAGTGGAACGTTGGTTTCCAGGAAAGAATCTGAAACGTGGTCCATGACAGCTTTGCGGAGCTAATAATTAAATTGTAAAAATTGGATTTTACTTTGACTGAAAAGCTAGATTGCTTTTTACTCTTGAACTTTTTAATCTAATGGAAGCACGTAATAGCCTGCCTGCACTTATATGAGGATCCCTCATGTAAACTAAGCCATGCGGTTCCCTAACCTGCAACAAAGGAAGCAGAGGAATGAGGAAACAGTGTTATTCACGGCAATTACAGCATTTCAGCAGGGAATCTCCATTTTTAAGACAGTTTCTTTTCCTCTTAGGAATTACAAAACTGAGGCTTACACCTTAGAAGAATACTGTAATGCAAGGTGAACAAAAAGTAGTTCTGGGTTGAACTGGCCCATAGACTTGGAATATATGTACTTATCTTACCAGGATAAATAAAAATGACCAGACTTTGTTTTTTTTTTTTTAAAGGGCAGGACATTTTCTGACTTATCTAAATAAGTTTAGCATACTATGAACCATTTCATACCATTTTTGATAGTGCTTCAATAAAAGAAAACAAGGGATTTAGTGACATTCCAATTTTAAGTCTGATTTTGATCACACAAGACCAATAAAACATCCCTCTACTAAATCTTGGAAATTTTATCATTAATACAGCTTCTTAGGTCTTCATACATTTTTTAAATAAATTCAATTCTACCTTCTTTAAAGATTAAAATTCAATTTAATTTCAAAACAGTAACCAGATTATTTAACATTAAATGAGCAGATCTTTTACCCAGTATTTACTAACTAGGAAAATTCAGCACGCCATATATCTCTATACACATCACATCCAATCTATAAACTCATCTCCAGCAAGGATCCATGAGAATATGTTTGTAATCAAAATGGGACAAGCCAAATAAACAACTCAGATTTCCATCCCTACTCTATAAAAAGAAAAAAACCAAACTCACTGCCGTCGAGTCAGTCCTGACTCAGAGCGACCCCTCCTTGGGTTTCCGAGGTGGTATCACCAGGGAAGTAGACTGCCCAACTTTCCTTCCGAGGAGTGGCTGGTGGGTTTGAACCGAAAGCCTTCTGGTTAGCAGTAAAATACCTCAGGCACTATGCCACGAGAGTTCCCTCTCTATTCTATATAAGCTAATATATCAAGATCTTTCAGGGTATTTCCACAAGTTCCAAAGTCATTTTAAATTGGTTCTCTTACTTGTACATCCTTTTCACATTAAAACTAATTTATTCCATCTGTCTCAATGGGACTGAATTATTCCAGGTCCCCATGAGACTTCATTAGCCACTTAGAAGCTTACTAGCAAATACACATACAGAGATAGTCACTTTCTAGCGGAAATCCATCCTTTCTTCTAACAATGTATATTTGTGGATATTTTAATCAAAACTATAAAACTGAGAATTTGGTAAAGAATTGGCACTTTCCGCCAGCTTACCTGTCTACGTAAATCCCTGGTCTTCTTGGTCATTTTATCTATTGCAGAATTGAGCGCATCACTTCTTTCTTTACGTCCAGCCTAGGAAAAAAAAAAAAAAAATGAGATGAGTTGCGTAATTCAGAATTTCAGTAATAAATGATAATTGTTGTAAGGTGTCATCGAGTCATCTGTGACTCACAGCAACCCCATGGACAGCAAAATGAAATACTGCCTGATCCCACATCAGCTCCATGATCCCTGCTATACTTGAACCCATCATTGCACCCACTGTGTCAATTCATCTCGCTGAGGTCCTTCCCTTCTTTCGTTGACCCTCCACCTTACCAAACATGAGCATGACATCCTTCTCCAAGGAATGGTTCCTTCTGATAACATGACCAAAGTACGTGAGACGAAGTCTGGCTATTCTCGCTTCCAAGGAGCATTCCATTCCTGCTGCACTTCCTCCAGGACAGATTCATTAGTTCTTTTAGCAGTCCACGGTATTTTCAGCATTCTTCACCAGCACCACATCGCAAAAGCATCTATTTCTCAGTCTTCTTACTCATTTTCCAGCTCTCACATGCATGAGGCAATTGCAAAAACTGTGGCTTGTGTCAGGCGCACCTTAATCACCAAGAAGACATCTTTGGTCCTCAGTACTTGAAAGAGGTCCTTTGTAGTCAACATACCCAGTACTACACGTTGTCTGATGTCCTGACTGCTGCTTCCACTGGTGTTGATCATAGAACCAAGCAATGTGAAGTTGTTGACAATTTCAATCTTTTCTCCATTTATTGTAATGCTGCTTAGAGGTTCAGGTGTGAGAATTTTTGTTTTCTTTATATTGAGATGTAATCCACACTGCAGACTGTATTCTTCAATTTTCATCAGTAAGTGAGTCAAGTCATCACTTTCAGAAAGCAAAGTTGTGTCATTAGCGTATCACAGGTTGTTAATGATTTTTTCCTCCAATCCTGATGCCACTTTCTTCTTCATATAGTCCAGCTTCTCCGATTATTTGCTCAGCATATAGATTGAGTAAGTATGGTGAAAGCATACAACCCTGGCACACTCCCTTCTTGATTTTAAACCATGCAGTGTCCCCTTGTTCTGTTCGAATCACAACCTCCTAGTCAATGCACAGGTTCCTCATGAGCACAGTTAAGTGTTCTGGAATTCCCATTCTTCTCAATGTTATCCACAATTTGTTATGATTCACACAATCAAATGTTTTTGCATAGTCAATAAAACATAAGTAAACATCTTTCTGGTATTCTTTGCTTTGAGCCAAGATCCATCTGACATCAGCTATGATATTGCTTGTTCCACGTCCTCTTGTGAATACAGCCTGCACCTCTTGAAGCTCTGGAATATACTGCTGCAACCATTTTTGAAATATCTTCAGCAAGATTTTACTTGCATACAATATTCATGATATTGTTCGATAATTTCCACATTCTGTGGGATCACCTTTCTTTGTAATGGGTACAAATATGGATCTCTTCTAGTCAGTTGGCCAGCTAGCTATCTTCCAAATATCTTGGCATAACCAAGTGAGTGCCTCCAGTTGGGCAACCGTTTGCTGAAACGGGTGTTCCGTCAATTACTGGAGCCTTGTTCTTCACTAATTCTTTCAGTTCAGCTACGACTTCTTCCTTCATTACCATTGGCTCTTGATCATATGCCACCTCCTGAAATGGATGAACATCAACCAGTTCTTTTTGGTACAGTGACTCTGTGTATTCCTTCCATATTCTTTTGATGCTTCCTGCATCATTCAATATTTTGCCCACAGAAGCTTTCAATATTACAACTCGAGGCCTAATTTTTTTTCCTCAGTTCTTTCAGGTTGAGAAATGCTGAGTGTATTCTTCCCTTCTGGTTTTCTAACTCCAGGTCTTTGCACATTTCATTATAGTAACTGACTTTGTCTGCTCAAGCTGCTCTTTGAAATCTTCTGTTCAGCTCTTTTATCTTGTCATTTCTTCCATTGGCTTTAGCTACTCTTCGCTCAAGGGCAAGTTTCAGTCTCTTCTGACATCCATTTTGATCATTTCTTCTCTTCTTGTCTTTAAAATCACCTTTTGCTTTCCTCATGGATGAAGTCCTTGATGTCATACCACAATTTTTCAGGTTTTTGGTCACTGGTGTTCAATGTATCAAACCTATTCTTTAGATGGTCTCTTAAATTCAGGAGGGATATATTCAAGATCATATTTTGGCTCCAGTGGACTTGTTTTAATTGTCTTCAACTTGAAGTTAAACTTTCATATGAGCAGTTAATGGTCTGTCTGTTCTACAATCAGCTGCCGGCCTGGTTTTGGCTGAAGATATTGAGGTTTTTCCATCACCTCTTGCCACAGATGTAGTCAGTCTGATTCCTGTGTATTCCATCTGGCAAAGTGCACCTGTATAACTGCCATTTGTGTTGCTGAAAAAAGTATCTGCATTGGTCTTGAAAAATTCTATTATGCGATCTCCAGTGTTATTTCTGTCACCAAGACCAAATTTTCCAACTACCAGTGATTCTTGTTTCCAACTTTTGCCTTCAATTAACAATTAACACATCTTGACTGCACATTCGGTCAATTTCAGACTGCAGAAGTTGATAAAAATCTTCAATTTCCTCATCTTTGACTCTGGTGGTTGGTGTATAAATTTGAATAGTTGTAATAACTGGTCTTCTTTGTAGGTGTATGGGTATTACGCTATCAATGACAGCACTGTATTTCAGGACAGATCTTGAAACATTCTTTGTGATGATGAATGGCATGACATTGCTCTTCAATTTGTTATTCCCGGCATAGTAGATCATATGGATGTCTGATTCAAAATGGCCAAAACAGGTCCATTTCAGCTCATTAATGCCTAAGATGTCAACTTTCATGCATTCCATTTCGAAAACTTCCAATTTTCCTAGATTCATACTTCGTCCATTCCATATTCCAATTATTAATCTATATTTGCACCTGTTTCTCCTCAATTTGAGTAGTGCTATCTCAATAAATGGAGGTCTTGAAAGCTTTACTTTATCCATATCTGTAAGGCTGGTCCTACTCTGATGATGTAGTTCTTTTCTAGTCGTTATTTTGAAAGTCTTCTGACCTAAGGGGTTGTTCTCCTGCACTGTTATTCGACAATGTTTCCAGGCTATTCATAAAGTTGTACAGTAGTATATCAGACACTGTTTCTCTGCTACTCATAAGGTTTTCCTGGGCCAATACTTTGAGAAGTGGATGGCCTCTTCCTTCTTCCTAGTCTTTCTCAGTCTGTAAGCTGCACTGAAACCTGTGCACCATGTGTAACCCTGCAGGCATTTGAAACACCGGTGGCACAGCCTCAAGCCTTACAGCAACACATAAGCCTCAACAGTATGAGAAACTGACAAACAAGTTTGTCTCTCTTAGCTGTTCGAATCCTCTCCACCCCCTCACTTTACTTGGATCCCTGGTGCTGCTCTGCTCTGTCATCCCCTCTGGCTTCACTTCCCCCTCCCCTGCTTTCCTGCCTGGTGGAGGCAGGGGGGCCTGGGGCCCTCCCCTTACCTGGATCTCTGGCTGGTGCTCTGCTCTGATAGTTACTTATGCTTAAATCAACATTGGAAAAAACTACAATTTTAAAA